GGTTCAAGCCAGTACCTGCTCCCCCAATTAAAAAATATATATGTATATGTATATGTGTATATATATGTATATATATATATATATATGCACACACACACATATACCCAAGTACAACACAGATGTAGTAATGTCTAAGTCTTTCTCAAACCTGAACAATATACAGATATTTTCTAAAGGAGAAAAATATTTTTCAAGGAACTCCAGTACTGCTTTCAATTGCTCTGAACACAATGCTAGACATGCACAGACACAGCCAGTGCTACGATACCAAAGCTGACTTGCAAACCCACACACATGGACAGAGCCGGACGCGCAGACCTGGTTCCATTGTCCAGTGGCCTCTGCCAGTGACCGTTAATCTGCCGGCCTCCACAGCAGCTTGAGGAACCTGGTTCCGAGGCAGTGGCCCCCACTCCAACTCCCGAGCATGCATTCTGTGACCTCACAGAACCCCAAAAGTAAAAGAACCAATGAAAAATGGCCAGGTAGGTGGCAGCCAGCTCCAACCCAGCACCATGGTGGCCTTCAGATCCCTTGTGAAGCCCGAGATCATCAAAAAGAGAGCGAAGAAGTTCATCAGGCACCAGTCAGACCGATACATCGAAGTTCAGAGCAACTGGCGTAAACCCAGAGGCATGGACAATAGGGTGGGAGAAGATCTCGATGCCCAACATAGGTTATGGAAGCAACAAAAAGACAAAGCACATGCTGCCTTCTGGAAGTTCCTGGTACACAACATCAAGGAGCTGCAGTGCCTCCTCCAAGAACCGCAAGACCATCGTGGAAGAGCGGCCCAGCTGGCCATCAGAGTCACTCATCCCAGTGCCAGGTGCGCAGCGAAGAAAACAAGCAGACGATTCATGTGTACTTAAATAAAACTATAAAAACTGCAATAAAGAAAGAAATAAATAAAAGGGCCAATAGATCTATGAAAAAAGAAGGTTCACTCTCTCTGGCCATTAGAGAAATGCAAATTAAAACAACACTGACATTCCACCTTACCCCAGAAAGAATGGCCCTCATCAAGAAATCAAATAAAAATAAATGCTGGTGAGGCCACAGGAAAGAGAAACCATCTACACTGTTTGTAGAAATGTAACTGATACAACCTCTATGGAAATCAGTATGGAAATTCTTCAAAAACCTAAAATTAGAAATTCTACTGGACCCAGCTACTCCCTTTCTAGGTGTCTTCCCGAAACAGTTAAAGACATCATATTCCAGGGATCCACACACACCCGTGCTTTCAGGAGCACAACGCAGAACAGCTAAATCTTGGGAGCAGCTTGTGTGTTCATCCACATGAGGGGATAAAGGAAATGTAGCATTTATCCACAATGGAGCATTACTCTGCTTAAAGAAGGATAAACCTGAGTCATTTGTAGGAAAACAGATGCATCCTGAGACCACAGTGCTAAGTGAAATAAATCAGACGAGGGCCGGGGACTTAGCTCAGTGGTATCACCACCTGCCTCGCAAGTAGAAGGAGCTGCATTCAATCGATCCCCGGTACTGCAAAATAAATATTAAATTAATAAATAAATCAGATGCATGAGATTAAATATCAACATAGTTTCTCTTATGTGAGAAACCCAAAATACAAATGAAGAGAAAAATAAAAGACAAATAGTAGGAAACAGGGAGATAGAACTTTTACAAAAATGAAGGGGACCAAGAGATTTGGGGAGAGGAGGAAAAGGGGGTGAAGTAAAGGAGGAAGATGTGTCAGGTACAGGCTCCAGCTTCCGTGAGGAATAAACCCATGAAGTACGGCTAGCATGTACCAATAAAATTAAAGATTAAAACAGAAAACATACACCAGATAATTCTGACCTGTGCATCACACATGGTGAGGGGTCCCGCCCAGGTGCACGAAGCTCCTAAACTCAGCACAATGCCACTAAACTGAAGAGAAGGAAGAAATGGGCAGGATGCAGACGTTTCTCCAATGAGCACATGGGCTGAGGTCAGAGCCACCGGAGACCCGCACATCAGGCTGCAGTGGGCACTGCCCTGCCCACCAGGGTTTCACCAGCGCACCATGGCGGGATGGTGGGAACGCCCTGAAGGCCGCTGACCGTAGGCAATTAGGTTACATGTGCTTTATCACAATCCCCACAGGAAAATCATCAGCCTTTCTCTGGAGGAGGGCAGCCCCTGCACCCCATGTTTTCTGTGGTGGTGGGGATTGAACCCAGGACCTTGCACATGCTTGCCAAGCACTGACACTGAGCTCCATCCCCAGCCCTCTTATGAGTTTTATTTCAAAATAAGGTCTAAGTTGCCCAAACTGGGCTGGAACTTGCGACCCTCCTGTCTCAGCCTCCTAAGTAGCTAGGATTACAGATGCACTGCCACATGCAGCCCTCAACCCTGTTAAAACAGAGTTGTAGGGCTGCGGCGGTGGGGGGGGGGCTACTCCAGCGTGCATGAGTCCTGGGCCGGAATCCCAGCATACCCTGCACAGTCAGGTATTAAGAAATGCTTTTAAATCGACCAAGGATATTGACGTTTTCATAAAAAACTCTCTGAACACAGCATCGGATGTTACATAAGGTGGAAACTGGTGAGCAAGACTTTAAAAAGAAATCAGTAAATAAACCAGAAGAGAGGATGACAGGTTGCTAGCCTCTGCTGTACCTGCACTGGTGACATCCTGAGGTTCGCTGGGAGGAGCCTCCAGGCCGCCCGTCCCTTTTTCCAGTTGCAGGAAACTGAGGTGGGGCGACACCTATCTCTATGGAGACATCTGTGATGCCACACACTGCCCCCGGGTGCCCTGGAAGGAGTTTGGAAGTTCATCTCCTCCCACCTGGAGTCTAAGGTCACATTCCCAGGACGCAAGGGTGGTGGGCTGCCTCACCCTGGGGCCAGGCTGGTACTTGAGCCCCCCCTTCCCGATGTTCCCGAAGACCAGCATGTTGTCAGAGAGGCACAGTGTGTCCCCCCACCCCATCGCCCAGGGCCTGCGGACCCTGCGGAGTATGGCTGGCAGGGAGGCCCGGGGCTTGGAACAAAGGTTGCACCAGGCCCCACATGGTCTCGGCAAGTCAGCTCTGGCCACCAGCTGCTCCAGGAAGATGGTAGGGCTTCCTCCTGCACCCAGAGCATCACGGGCACTGACTGGGGTCTAGACGTCCAGGATCCCAGCTACTCCTAGGGACAGGCCCTGCTGGCCTCATCTTATTCCTGGAGGGTCTCACCTCCCAGGCTGTGGCTGGGCTGCCCTCGCTCTCAGCTCCCAGACTTCTTTAGGGTGCAGGGTGACTGCCCCTGCCACTTAGGGGCCTCTGCAGGGTGGCCTGGGGCCATAACTAGGGTGTCCCAGATGGCTCCTGGGTCTTGTCCCTCAGCCACTGCCCCTTGTTCCTGTCTTCCAGAAACCGCCCAAGGCTGTCCCCAGCCTCAGTGGCTTTGCATCTGAGATGGCAGCACTGAGGAAGGCGTTCCTCATGCGGCCCAGCTGCCCCCAGTTCAGCACTAAGGCGACGTCCGTGTCCCATCTGGGTAAGAGCCACACCCAGGGCCTCAGTGGGACCTACCTGCCTCAGCCTGCTGTGCTTCCAAAACCCACTCCAGGCGCCAAGGGGCAGAAGAGAAGCTGGGTCTCCCTTACTGTTTGTCTCCAGCTGCTGCTGCCCTCCTCCTGTTCCTCCTATTCCCCTTTTCCTCCTTCCCGGGACTGGGGACCAAACTCAGGGCCTTTGCTCTGAGCTACAGCAATCTGTTTGTTCATCTCTATTTATTTTTAAATTTTGAGATGAGGTCTGGCTAAGTTGCCCAGGCTGGTACTGAACGTGTGATTCTCCTGCCTCAGCCTGGAATGCAGGCTTGCGCCACCACACCCCGCTGCCTCCCAGCCCTCTGGCTGTTACCGACTCCTGCAGCGGTTCTGTGGGGCCGGTGGGGGCCCCTGGCTGCAGGAAGGAGGCCCAAGGCCAAAGCCTTGTGAGGCATAAGCCAGTCAGGAGCTCCGCAGCACCCTGCCGTCGAGGCCCCTGGGTGCTGACAAAGAACTCGAGGCTCAGGGCCTGAGAACATCGTCAGAGCCACATCCTACGCACAGTGCTGTCCTCAGGTGGTGACCTGGGGTCCTGCCTAGGGAGCTGGGGGGCTGCACAGCACTGGGAGGTGGGGTCTGTCTGCTGGGGGACTCACTGTGGTGGCAGGGGACGAAGCCACACTCTGATTTTGCCTGCTGTTCAGTCCATGTGTCCTGGAGAAGTCCCCTTCGCCCTGCCGACATTCATAGATAAATGACACCCCGGGGAGGGACATCTCAGTCACCCAGGCACCCTCCTCTCTGCAGGCTCGGGATCCTCCATCCACCTGCCCAGGGTGTTGGGCAGCTGCTCCAAGGGCCAGAGGGGGACAGAGGACTGGCTGCTGGAGAGGCGGGCCTCGGACCGAAGCTCAGATGGTGAGCACCCCCCGCCGCCCCAGAGGAGAGACGGCTTCCATGGGGAGAACCCCTGGGTTCCCAGGACAGAGGCTCCCACCTGTGTCAGCATGACGGCTGAAGATTTTGTCCCTCACCCTGATGCCTGTGAGGGAAGCCTGTGAAACACTCCTCCGCGGGCACACGGGCTTCCTGTGCCTACCAACCTGGACGTCCACCCTCAGACGCGTCCCTCTTCACCTTCACGTGGGGTCACCTGGAGCTGGGGTGACTGCGCCCCTGGGCTTGGAAAGGTGCCAAATGCACCTGTGCAATCCAAAGACGGGGTGCTGAGGCTTGGAGGGATGGGCCGCAGGGTGCACAGGTCAGCACCGGGCAGGCCCCTTGTCCTAGGCTCCAAGCTCTGGCTGTCACCGCTCCATCCCTTCCTGAATATAGCCCTGGGCCGGGTGGGGCAGCTGCCAAGCTGTCTCCTCCAAACTCGCTCCTGCAAGCCACTCTGGCTTCAGCTTCAGAATGGTGGTGGGCGGACATAGGAGACAGGAAGAAACCACTGAGCAAAGGAGGCCTCAGAGGGGCTTCACTGGTGATGTGCAGAAGAGCCTGAGACCAACAGCTCTGTGTCTTGGACAGGGCGCCCCCTCCTGGGCAGCAAGAGTGCCTGTGAGCTGGGCATGTGGAGGAGGAGCTCGCTCCAGATCCCCAGTCCTGCGCACAGCTGGTGGGTCCCTGGCCAGAAGCTGCCTTGGTACATCTCCATCATCCAGGAGAAGGTACTGCCCTGTGCCCTTGGGTCCTTCCTGCAGCTGCTGGCTGCTCTCCAGCAATGGCCTCAAGTGGCACAGAGAGCCCCGGACCCCTGTCTGTCCTGCCCATGGGCAGCAGCTTTAGCTGCTCCAAACGCACCAAGATTTAACCACCAGCCTCACACAGGGCTATAATCCCAGCACTCGCGAGGCTGAGGCAGGAGGATTGCCTCAAGTTCAAGGTCAGCCTGGGCTACATAGTGAGTTCAAGACCAGACTGAGCTACACAGTGAGACCCTGCCCCAAGTTCCCCAAACCAAAAACCCTCCACCTCACACACCTCTCAGGCCGGAGCCCCACACTGGAGCAGCACTGAGTAATGCAGCTAGGGACGACTCTGCTCAGCCCATTCGCTATAATGGGGCCTTCCTGAAGACAGCCGTCCATAGCGGAGACCAGCTTACAGTTGGAGTGTTTTATAACTCTGTTGTCAGGTCTTAGTGTCAAAGTTACTCTGGTCTCATTTTCTAGAGACATGGCAGGCAGATCCCCTTTTTCTTTTCCTGGTCTCTGAAGGAAATCTGACAAGCTTAGTGTCATTTTTCTCCTAAATTATGAAGAATTTAGTTGTGAAATTCTCTGTCCTGGGGGTTTTTTACAGGAGAGGTTTTATGATCGCCAATTCAATTCCTTTATAAGACAGGCGATTTCTTTCTCTTTTCTCTTACCCGCCCCCTTCCCAGACAGGGTCTTGCTATGTATTTCAGGCTGGCCTTGAACTTACTACATGGCCCAAGCTAGCTAACTTGCAGAGATCTTCCTGCCTCTGCCTCCCGAGTAGTGGGATTACAGGTGTGCTACACCACACACAGTTCCTTTTTCCTCCTATTTGATGATACGCTGTGTTTTCTAAAAATGTGTCTTTTGGGAAATCTTCAGCTTCACCGACCTCACACTGTGTAGAACCTGAGGATAACCTTGTTGCTCCTGCCTCTCGGCTCCGCCAGGACGGCCTGGGGTTCCTCCCTGGTGTTGTGACTCTGGCCTCTAGGTCAGTCTTGCTAGAGGGTTATCCCTTCTAAGTCCCTGACTCAGTACCTGCTGTAGGCTTTGTAGATTTTCTGTACCATTTATTCTCATTTTCAAGCTGGCAAAGACAAGGGATAAGTGTAGGGATCTCCTGGGCGTTCTCATCCGGGTCCTTCGTGTCGCCAAGAACTGGAAGTGAGCCCGTTAGCTTTACTGCAAAGGCAGAGGTTCACCGGAAGCAGAGGCCGCTCAGGGCGTGGTGAGGGCAGCGTAATGGCCATGCGCTCTCACGTGACACTGCGGCTCTGCGCATGCTCCTTCGCCTCTGTTTTAATCAGCTCCTTGAGACGCTATTCCCTGGGCTTCACTGCACCTGCGCCCTCTGGGGACTTTTCCTCCTGGGAATAGTTTTGTCCGTGGCCTCTTCAGCAGCTTTTAACCACAGGAGCAAGGTGTTCAGTGAGAAGCCAGGTTGGGAGCGTCTCCCGCCGCCGCTGGCTTTTTCCACCCTCTTCTGCCCCCATCTGTCCCCGTGTTAGGTCCGTGGTAGTCAGTTGATGTTTAGTCCTGAAACTACGTGTGACAGACTTAATAATTTCAAAAGTGCTCCTTTTACCCAAGCAACTCCTCTTCTGAGAAGCGGTCCGAGGATGAAATTACCGTCACACAGATCCTTAGAAATGGACAAAGATTTGCCGGACCATGTGCCTGTACCACCCAGGGGAAATGCTCCAGGCCTGTCTTCAGGTGCTGGAGCAGAAACGCTAGGGATTCTCTCTCTCTCGCTCTCTCTCTCTCCCTCCCTCCCTCCCCGTACCCTCAGCAAGCTGTCACAGACACAACCTTCCACCTGTGCTAATGAGCTGGCAATGTGCAGATGCAGCGGCCAGCACTGGTGACTTTGGGACTTGCGCATGTGCCCCAAGTCACCACGGAGAAACAATAAAATGTGGTTTCTGCAATCTTGCTTTTTCCTTTTAACTTTTACTTCAGACACGAAAAATTGTGAAAACAGCACGGATAATGTCTGTATATGCTTTAGCCTTCCCAAATATTACATTGTTAGGCCAGGCATGGTGGTGCACGCCTGTAAATCCCAGCACTAGGGATACCGAGGCAGGAGGCCAAGAGTTCTAAGCCAGCCTGAACTACATATGGAGACTTATGTCAAAAAACAAAACAAACATATAAATATTCACTGTTACCTTGTCTGCTTTGTTCTCTCCTCTCTCCCTCTTCCTCCCCGTATAATTAGCATCCAGCTTTCTTATTCCCTTTCTTCTAGTTCCTTGTCATTTAATTTGCAGTACTTTTTCTGCATTTTTGTGTGGCTACTTAGATCACCAACTTCTGATTTCCCCCTAATAGAGGTGTCTTTTAAATTTTTTATTAGTGCGTGTTTACAGTGCATAATGTTTACCTTCCTTGTGTGGAGTTGGTAAATGCACATGATACATTGTAATTTCTTTTCCTCCCCTCCCCTTCCTCCCTTCCTTTCCCCTTTAAGAAAGCTCTAGCTTCTTACTTCCTATTATCTACTGGTATTTTGCTCTTTATTTATAATTTGGGTTTCTCATAGAGAAGCTATGTGGTATTTAAGCTTGGGTGTCTGATTATTGCACTTAACATTATGGTCTCAAAGTGTCTTCATTTCCTATAAATGCCTTGAGCTTATCCCTCTTTGGGACAGAGTAGTACTCCATTGTGGACAAATCCCACATTTGCACTATCCATTCATCTGTTGGACACACAGACTGTTTCCAAGACTTCACTGTGGTAAATTGTGCCACTATAAACTTGGGTGTGCATGGGTTACAGTAATGTGTCTTTAACTCTTTCAGGAGTATTCATCTTATGGCTACAAATTTGGCTTTGATCACAGCCTTCGCTGCATCCTCTAAGTCTCCCTATAGCCAAACACTCATTTTCATTCAGTCCTAAATGTTTTCCAGCTTCCTTTATGATTTCTTCTGTGCCTATGAGCTGCACAGAAGTCTTTCACTTCATTTGCAAATATTCATAGGAGTTTCAGGCTATCTTTCCTTCCAGAATATCCTGCTTGGGGTCATTTCCTCCTGCCTGGGAATTTCTTTTGTTATTTCTCCAAACTCAAATGCCCTGGTGACTTCTTTTAGTTTCCATTATGTCCAGGTGCTTGCCAGGAGCCGAGCCCGAGAGCTTATGGAAGCTGCCATGGGTCTCCCTGGATAGGAACTCAAATTCAGGGTCTGCTCTTAGGAAGTGCAGGGGCCATGGGGCCATGGCTGTGTCTGCAGTAGAGGGAATGGGGATAGGGGTCCTGGGAGAGAGGGTCTGTGGGGTGCCAAGCCCAGGCTGCTGGTTTCCCCCAGGACCGCTCCCTGCTATCGCTGGGAGAGGAGGTCCAGCGTTTCTCCAAGCTGGAGACGCAGGTCCAGAAGAAAGACCGGGAAATCCAAATGCTGCAGAGGGAGATGGAGGCCCTGCAGAAGCAGCTAAAATGCATCATCCGAAGTAAAGGCCTCGAGACACCGCCGCTCCTGTCCTGGAGGGTGAGTCACCTTCTGACCAAAGAGGTTCTCCAAGGCATCTGCCCTGCTTCTGCCCCGCAGGGCCCCTGGCAAATCCCAGACCCCTGCAGCACAGGCTGGGTCTTGGGGTCCTGTAGACAGGCCAGAGATCAGGGGGCATTAGGCACGAGTAGGAAATGTGCAGACACCGCTGCCTCCTGGAAGAGCCTGGTGCTTTCTGGCTCAGTCTCCACACCATACCTGTGGACTCCCACCATGCTGTGGGCAGCACGGGTGCCCCAACCTGGCGTGAACCCTTTGTCCCCACCTCTACCTCAGCATGTGGGCTATGGGAAGGGCCTGATCTTCCTTCCACACCTGACAGCACAGCTGCACCTTTGCTGGGCAGGCATGAAGTAGGGGCAGGGAGGGGACTTGGGGCCACCTCAAACACCAATGGCCCAGTGGACACCCAAGGTCCCTACCCCCTGTCCAGGGCCATTGAGTGGCAGTGTGGGCAGGGTACCCCTCCGTGACACACCAAGTGTGCTTATCTGTGGGGCCCCCAGGAGCAGGCCCACCCTGAGGCCAGTCGCAGGGCTGTTCCTTCCGGCAGACCCCGCCCCCCCGCCACATCCCCTTCCAGGTCCCCTGTCTGGGAGGAAGTTCCCAGCCAAATCATGGGTGTCTTGCAGGAGTCGACCTGGGAGAAAGTGGGGCCACTGCTGGGGAGGCTGAGCCTCCTGAGGACCACCCACACTGACCAGGAGGATGAGCTGCAGCCGGAGCAGGTGTGGCCCAGGAACAGCATGGGTAGCTTCCACCCACAGCCTCCCGGCTTCCCTGGCCTCTGTTCTTCCAGGGCTGCCCGCTGTAGGCCTGACCTGGGCTGGCCCTGCCAAGCGCTGGGGAGGGCTGGGTCAGCTTGGCCACAGGGTGTCCTGCTGGGCCTGGCTCTTGCCAGAACAAGGTGCCCTCCAGGTCCGCTACCCTGAGGACACCTAGCTCCCTGCCTAGCCCTCCTCTCTTCCCTCTCCCAGATGCAAGGAGACGACACCCTGGCTGAGCTCGGTAGGGCACTGTCCCTGGAGCTGGGAGGTGATGAGGAGGACCAGGGCCCAGGCACAGAGCCTAAGACGGCCAGGGATGCTGGAGCAAGGGACAGTGCCGGCAGGTCAGGGTCTGTGCAGGAGGAGGGTGCAGAAGAGGAGGAGGAAGAGGAGGAGGACGAGAAATTGGAAGAGGAGGAAGACGAGGAGGAGCTGCCCCAGGAAGGGGACAGCAGCTGGGGACGGGTGTTCTCCATGACCGAGTCCTTTGAGGACAAGCTCCTGGCCCAGCTGGAGGAGTACGAGCGCACGCTGCTGGGGTTCCAGGGCGAGCTGGAGGCCCTCCGGCTCAAGTACTGCCTCGCCACAGGTAGGCGCAGGCCAGGCGTGAGGGGGTAGCCGGCAACACAGCCTGGGCTCCTTCCTCCCCCGCTCTGCAGGAACCATCGTGTCCTTGCAACGGCAGCTGACTTGTCAAGAGTCCCAGATGCAAAAGGTCAGCTCCCAGAACGAGGCGCTGCACAAGGAGCTCCGCGAGCGGAAGCAGCAGCTGCAGGCCATGTCCAGCAAGGTGCTGGCCCAGCATACCCCAGGCCCCCACAGCCCCGAGGCCCTGGTCTACTTAGTGATGGGGACCTGGCCTCAGGGCAGCCATGCGGCTGACAGGCTGAACCTCAATCCCTGCCAGGCCTATGGGAGGGCCTTGCTTCTGCGCCTCTGCTGCCCTCTGTTCCTGTCCCCTGACCACAGTGCCCTGGCCACTTCCCCACAGCCCTGGGCCTGTGCCAGCTCCAGGGTGAGTTGGGCTGTGGTCCACTGTCCCTCCAGCTGCCCTGGGTCAGTCATGTAGAACCCGCTTGGCCATCTGCTCCCCAGTTGCCAGGAGGATTTGCGGTGCTTCCTCTGCCCATGCCCCACCGGAAACCCCACAGCTCTCGTCCCAGCAGTGCAGGGCAGGGGGCCAGGGGTGGTCACTCCATCCTCTCCGACCTTGGCCTCCCACAGTTCTCCAGACTCCGGGAGGATAAGAAGCACCAGGAGGTGATGGGGCTCATCGAGATGGACAACCTCGGCCTTCGCCAGGTGCCAGCTGGGTGGTGTGAAGGGTGGGTGGGGCACAGCCCCCACTGCAGTCAGGATGCAGGGACAGCAGGTGAAGCAATAAGCCTCTCCCTCTGCCTGTCCCGCCCAGTTCACCTTGGGGCCCCTGCCCCGTCACAGTTGGGTCGGGCCCAGGGTGAGTTGCTTCTCCATCTTTTGGGAAATGTGGTGGGGGCCATGCAGGAGTAGCTGGGGCCCAATGGCCTCTGCGCTGTCCTCCCCAGCACACGTCAGGCCTGGAGCGGGAGCTTGCGAAGCGGGATGTCACCATCGCGGAGCTGACCGCCAAGGTCAGCCAGCTGCAGGCGCAGGTCAGCTTGGAGCAGGAGCACAAACAGCGGTGGCGACAGCTGCAGGAGGACGTGCAGGGCAGGCATGAGTCCATGCAGCAGGCGGAGCTGCAGGCCCAGGTGGCCCTGGAGAGCACCCAGGCCAGGGTATGCCCTGCGCCGCTGCAGTCCGGCTGATCATATGTCAGTCCTGGTGTCGTCACGGCAGGTTCAGGACAAGCAGGTTTAGGGACTTCCCCGGCACAGGTGGAAGTGGCCCTGCCTGTCCCCAGTCTGCAGGGCTGAGACTCGGTACATTTGGGGCCAAGCAACTTTGATCTGCCAACTTCTACAGACACTGAGCAACTAATGGTCTGTATTGGTGCTCAGAAAACATTTGACCCAAGTTCTCCAGCAACCAAGGGTACAAAACCAAAGCCACACTCGGTTCTGCTTTTAGTCCCAGATCCGGCATCTGAAGGCCCAAGTGAGGGGTTAAGGGTCCCAGTAACATGGCTCTCCAGGCCCCAGCTGCTATAGGAGAGAACACAGATCATGTTTTAACGGCAGCAGGGAGGGCCCGGTTCTGCCTGCTTTCCCGTCCCTGAAGTGGCCCCTGCTGTTACTATTCCTGGACGAGCTCAGAGAGGAGTGGGTTTGCTCACCCCTTAGGTGAGGTCTCCAGTTGGTTTGTTTTGAGGCCTGGAGGTTCTTCCTACACCTCACACAGGGTCTGCACTAGCCTCCTCCGCTTGCTCCCTGCTTTTGCAGACCCTATGTATAGTTATGATTCAGGAGGTGAAGGAATCCTTTTTGCTTTTCAAGCAGCCCCCAGCTGCCCATCTCCAGCCTGCTCAGGACTGACTTTCTCTCTGGCTCTGGGAATGCACTGTTCCCGAGGGCCTGTACCCATGGCTGCAGGAGGAGTATGGTATCCTTGCCACTGCCCACTTGGGTTGATGGTGCAGGAGTGGGCATGGCCTTGGCTCAATCTGCATCTGTCTGGGGACCCGGGAGGGAGCTTATGCTGGAGAAATGGAGGGTGAAGGAGGGAGGGTGTCGGGAGGGCCCAGGACAGAGATGACATTGTGTGGGGAAGAAGTGGCCTCGTCTTGGCGAGCCAGGAAGGAGGGCAGGACAGCACGCATAACCAGTGCCACCCATTATGATTCCAGTCCCCGGAAGCAGGCGTCCTTGTCCTCCTCTTATTGTGCAGGGAGGACAGTGACCCTGTCTGTGTGCAGGTGGTGGGGACTGAGACCAGCCACCTCCCAGCAGGACCCTGGGAGGTGGTGCCCTGCTCCTGCAAGGCCCAGGCCCAGGAGGAAGTCAACAAAGCCGAGCTTGATTTGGTGAAGGGAAACCACACCTTCCCTCCCATCACCTGCACACCAGGGTGCCAACTTCACCCTCTGGTGCCAACCCTCCCTCTGGGGCAGCTCTCTCCCAGCTGACTTGGCCAGTGTCACCAAAGTGCCCACACCTGGCTGTTTCTGCAGCTGGCTGCAGTCCAGCTTGGTCCCATGGCAGGTGTGCACCTGGCCGAGGTCTAGGTTTCACCAAGGGCCCCTGTGCTCAGGCACAGGAGAGCCGGGAAAGTCCTGAGGCTGCAGCTGGGGCCTGTGGGTTTACTGCTGGTGGAGGAATGTGGGCACCCAGGCTGGACATCCAGTGCACAGACCAAGTCCCTCATTCCCTCGGCACTGCTAGCACCAAGCATGGTGCTTGGGACAGACTGAGCCCCCAGTAAATCCTGGGATGGAGAGGACCCCTCTTCCCTCAGGCCCGGGGCCCTGATATTCCCAACAGGCAGCATGGCATGTGTGGGCTCCCTGGGCATCTCTGCACTATTGGGGCTCTGGACACAGAAGGGCAAGGAGCTGGTGCTGTGAGTGTGGCTGGAGAGGGACCCTGTCTGCAGGCTCCCGGGTTTCACAGGAAGTGTGCTGAGCTTGCCCTGGTGAGGGTTGGTGATTCCCTGTGGAGGGGAATTCACAGCAGTGGAAGACTGGCAAACCTTGACAGTGCACCCTAGGGACTCTGCAGCAACCAACCTGGCAGCCTGGGTCCCAAATCGAGGGAGGGCCGGGAGCCCACAGGTAGGGTTCTGCTGACTGATGTTAGGCGACAGAATCCATACACCGTGACCTCAGGGCCGACAGTGCTCCCTGCCTCCTGTGGGTGTCCTGAGGCCCAGGAAGAGTGTGCTGGACAAGGGCTGCTGAGCGGGGGACAGTGGCCTAGGTCGTGTGCAGCTTTCTATCACTTGGGTTTTTTAAAACACCTGCACGCTGGATGTTTCCACGTGACTCTTCCTCAGGGACCCCATTTCCAGCTCTTAGGGCTGGGACAGCCGAGGCCAGGATGTCCTGGGACCTGCACTGGTGGCAGATACAGGTGACTCCCTGGGTGGCTGTCTCTCCTCTGCTGGCAGCTCGAGCGGTTGAGGGACAAGATCATGCAGGCGGCCTTCAGCGTCACGGGGGTGAGGGCACTCTCTGTGGAGATCTCCGACAGCGACATTCTGGAGGCCCTGCAGGTACATCCCAGCCTCGCTGTCTCCCAACCCAGGGGCCTCAGGGCCCACGACCTGCAGCTGGGGGCCATAGGGAGGCCTGGGCTGGATTTGGGGCCCTGTTCACCCATGCACCACGATCTCAGAGGCGGCCGTGACTCGGAGCTGGTGAGGCTGGGCTGCTCTTACCCGAGAGAAGGGGATCACTAAGTGTCCCTGACCCTAACCCACGGCTCAGCCGGCCTGCGCAGCTGCTCCATCTGTGCCAGTCAGGCTGACTCCTAACTGGACACAGAAGGGGCAGGGCTCTGGCCTGAGGGGTCACCACGCACCAAGCCTGGGGTGAAGCCTGGGCCTCTCCTTCTTCTCAGAGTCGTGGGGCTCCCCTGTGACAGGGAAGGGTGTGGTGGTATGCGGGGCAGGCTGGGACTACTCACCAGCAGCTGCTCTGCTCCCAAGTTCCCAGCCTGCTCCTCTAGCGCTGTCTGAGGTGCAGGCCTGGTTGGTGATGTCCCTGTGAAGTGGGGACAATGGGAGGGGTCTGTGGCCTCTTCCGGTT